CCGGGGCCCGGTGCCGGTCGCCCCGCCCGGGGGCCCGGTGCCGGTCGCTCCGCCCGGTGGCCCGCTGCCCCCGCTGCTCCGCCCGGTGGCCCGCTGCCTGCTGCTCCGCCTGGTAATCCGATGTGCCTCTGCCCGGAGTCCAGCCCGATGTGCCTCTGCCCGGAGTCCAGCCCGATGTGCCTCTGCCCGGAGTCCAGCCCGATGTGCCTCTGCCCGGAGTCCAGCCCGATGTGCCTCTGCCTGGAGTCCAGCCCGATGTGCCTCTGCCCGGAGTTTAGCCCGATGTGCCGCTGCCCGGAGTCCAGCCTGATGTGCCGCTGCCCGGAGTCCAGCCCGGTGTGCAAGTCTTTGATATCCCGCCAGTTACCAGACCCGGCGGTGGAACATTTTGCCCAGCTAGGACTGTTTGGAGCGTCCTGAGGCCGCTCCTTGAGGGGGGGGTACTGTCAGGAATGGACTGGCCAGCAATGGTGGGACTCACCTGCCTTTTGATCTGCAGTACCAGGGCTGGCCAGCGGGTGCTCAAAGCAATCAGAGACTCAACCTTTCAGCCAGCTAACACCTGGAACTGATGATACTGGTGTATTTAAGGGATGGCCAGACTTGCAGACTCTGCCTTGGTGTTGTGTTTGTCCTGTGCCCTGTATCTGTCCTGCATCCTGTTTCTGTTCCTTTGCTGACCCTGCCTGATCTGAACCGCTGCTGACTTCTCCTCTGCTCTGATCCCGGCTCGCTCCTGACCATCCCTCTGCCTGACCCTCTGTACCACGCTGCTTGCTACCTGTTCTGATCCCTGGCTTGTGACCCTGACCATCCCTCTGCCTGACCCTCTGTACTACGCTGCTAGCTACCTGCTGAACCTGGCCTGTCTCCGCTTTCTCCCCCTGTACCTACCTGCCCTATTGATATTGACCCGGCCTGCCTGACGACGCTTGCTTGTATGTACTTTATCTGTGGGTGGTTGGTTTGGTTTGTTTGCACTGTATTATGTTTTAGTATTGCACTGCGTTTATGTTTGTATGGTTAGTGTTAATAAATTATATTGTTTATCACATATCTGAAGTCTGCGTTTCCCCTGCGTCAGTCACACACCTCTGGTCACACCTGGGAGCCCTGACATACCCTCTCCATGCTCAAACACACCCCCTCTACAGTCAGACATACCCTCTCCATGCTCAAACACATCGCCTCTATGGTCAGACATACCCTCTCCATGCTCAAACACATCGCCTCTATGGTCAGACATACCCTCTCCATGCTCAAACACATCGCCTCTATGGTCAGACATACCCTCTCCATGCTCAAACACATCGCCTCTATGGTCAGACATACCCTCTCCATGCTCAAACACATCGCCTCTATGGTCAGACATACCCTCTCCATGCTCAAACACATCGCCTCTATGGTCAGACATACCCTCTCCATACTCAAACATACCCCCTCTATGGTCAGACATACCCTCTCCATGCTAATACACAACCCCTATATGGTCAGACATACCCTCTCCATGCTCAAACACATCGCCTCTATGGTCAGACATACAGTACCCTCTCCATGCTCAAACACACCCCCTCTACAGTCAGACATACCCTCTCCATGCTAATACACAACCCCTATATGGTCAGACACACCCTCTCCAGGTGAGAACTGAGTGGTGTGGCTGTTACTCAGCTCTGCAAAGCAGGGAGAAAAAAACAGCCATATAATAAAGTAAAAGCAGCAAATATAAACACATTGTTAGGCACACAACCCCTTGATTGCCCCTAGATGTTAACCCCTATCCAACCAGTGTCACTGTGTACAGTATTAGCACTGGTCACTGTTTTAGTGTTACTATTGATGTCAGTGTCAATTAGTGTACCTCCCAGCCACCGTCAGCTAGCACTAGCACCAGATTGCCCGCCACACTATCACAGTCCCACAATAAGTCACTGATTATGGCCATTACCAGTTTAGCATTATAGATGCATAAATTTTAGTATATATATATATATATATATATATATATATATATATATATATATATATACACACACTATAGTTTGTAGACGATATAACTTTTACACAAACCAATATACACTTACTGATACTTTTTTTTTTTTTTTTTTTTTTTTACAAAAATCGTAGCACAATACATTTTGGCCTAAAGTTATGAAGAAATTAGATTTTTTTATGGGATATGTTTTATGAAAGAAAATATTGTTTTTTTTTTTTTTTTAAAATGTCTGGTCGTTTTTTGTTTTATATAATAAAAAATGTAAAAAACCCATGCAGATAAAATACCACCAAAAAGAAAGCTCTATTTCTGTGAAAAAATTATATAAATTTAATTTGCGTACATCGTTGCATGACCGAGCAATTGCCAATTAATGTAACATGCTAAATAGCACAAAATGCCCTGGTTATGAAGCGGGTAAAACCTTCCGGAGGTCAAGTGGTTAAAGTGACAGCTACCTCCTGGTAGTGTATGGTGCCAGCTTTAATGTCATTTATGTTTTTCTTATCTAACCACAAGTTGCTTCAAATTTACAAACCTGCCATAGCATAAATACAGTTACTGCCATTGCTGTCCTCCTAAAAATGCTAGTTGCTTGGCTGTCATGCTGGTCCTCTGGCTTCAATGGTCACTGGCCTGGAACAAATATGCAGGTGATTGGATCAGTGATTCAGAATGTTGAAGCAAAAGGTCCCAGAACAACAGCCAGGCAACTAGTCTTATAAGGAGACATCAGTCAAGGAAGCCTCCATGTTTTTCTCATGATATTTTTTCCTCTCAGCAGACCAATAATGGTAGGAAAGCTGTCTGTGGCTCATTATGTATGTGTGTGCATGTAAGATAAGGACCTTAGATTGTAAGCTCCTCAGGGGCAGATGTGAATGAATAATATGTAAAGTGCTGCATAAATTAACAGTACTATATAAATACCTATACTTATTAAAAAATACTTACCAGCCTATTCCTCGTCTCTCCTGCAACTTTTGGTGCAACACATTTGCAATCTGAAAGCTGAAATGTGAATTAAAAGACATTATTTTTTTTCTCAAACATGAGGAGAAGCAAGAGACATGAAATACTAAAAATCGAAACTCGTAAAGGAATCTACATAGCGGACCACATTAAATCCATTTACACCAGGGAGAGCCATAGGGGAACAGCCCAGAACTCTGCACTAACCTTATTAGGGAATCCACAAAGTAGATTCTGAGTTGTTGACTTTAGTACATATAGCAGTAGGAAGAAGAGAGCTGGGAGGAGGTGCAGGCTGTACTCTCTCCCTCTTGTCTATATTGTGGGAACTCGCTTCAACGTGGTAGAGCTTTTAAACGCAAACAGCTACTCGCTTTCTTTTTCAGGGCCTTTTTAGCCCACTTTTATTTAAATGAAAGTTCAAACAGAAGTTTCCGACACAGGGGTATCGATCATCCACAAAACAACGGTTCAGCCTCCTGGCTTACACTCAGCTTGCTGTCTGTCTCCTCCAGACTTCTTCCCAAAAATATGGCACTTGCACACCGCTGGCCTCTAGCACACAGCTAGTCTCTAGCAGCCCCTTGCTGCTTTTGGCTTCCACCTCTCCTAGGTGGAGCCCACCTGACTTCCAGGCAGTGACCTCCCGTCTTCCAAGTGGAGCCCTCCTGACTCCCATCTGCCAGGGTGGAGCCCAGAACTCTGATCCTGACTCTCTGAAAAGGCCTGCACACACCTGTGCAATCAGTCTCCTGGCCATTCCCAAAACCTGGTCCCAGGATTGGAGATTTCATCCCTCCCAGATCTCTTTGAAATCTCCAGGCTCCAGATCCCAAAACAGACCTTACAAACAAAGGAGGAAGGTGAAAAGCCACTTTCCTCCGTATCAAACACTTAGCCTGGAGCCCCTCAACCTGCCTAGTTGAGAATCCTGGGTGACAGATTGCCACACTGTCACAATATATAGGTGGTAAGACAAAATCGTTCTCTCATCTGAATGTACAGGGTTGGGACAGTTTTTTTTTGTCCTTTTGCCACGGCACCCTTGAGGACTTTTTATGGCAACCCAGGGTGTCACAGCACCCTGGTTAAGAAACACTGGTGTAGACCACAATGTACTATCTAAACCAGGGAGATCAGTAGGGGGAGAGCACAGAAATCAGCACTACCCTTGTAAAGGTGCCTACAGGGTAGACCACAGTACATTATCTACACCAGGCAGATCATTAGGGGATCAGCCTAACACTCTGCATTATCCATGTACAGTATGGGTGTCAGTAGATGAAAAGGTCAGAACTATGCACTAACCTTGTAAGCTAGCCTATAGAGAAGAACGCAATGTAATATTTAACCCAAGTAGATCAATAGGGGAGCATCACAGAACTGCACTAACCTGGTAAGGGAGTCTACAGTGTAAAACACAATGTACCATCTACACCACGGAGATCCAAGAACTCTGTATTTACCTTGTTGGAGAATCCACAGAGCAAACCATATTATACCTTCCACACCACAGAGATCAGTGGGGAACAGCCCAGATCTTGGTACTAACCTTGTAAGGGAATCCACAGAATAGACCACGATGTATCCATCTACACCGATAAAAAAGGATGGAGGAAGGAAAGAGAATTCCAACTGTGTATAGTTGGAAGACAATATGTCAGACATAGCTACAAAATGTCACCATTACACCCTAACAAAACAGAAACAAGTACTTACGTGACATGCTGTGTCCACCACATCCAATTCATATTGATCAGTTCCCACATCAAATGTTTTGGTCCAAGCTGAGGAGCAAACACAAATGAAAAATGAAAGTGTAACCTTTTTGTTTTATCTTTGAATACCACGTAGAAGGTTGAGAGGCTCTGCCAGTTTTCATACTGCTGTCTTGGTTCCATTGGAGATTTCCTCATGGTCCTCCCCACTAGAACAGGAAGTGAGAGCAAATCCCTGCATGGCAGGGTGCTAGGGGAAACCCTGGATTCTGAACTATCCGTTCAGGCCCACATCCAATCCCTGTCCAAATCATGCCGCCTCAACCTTCGCAACATCTCCAGAATACGCCCCTTTTAACCAATGATACCACAAAGCTCGTAATTTACTCCCTGGTCATCTCTTGTCTCGACTACTGCAACTAACTCCTCATTGGCTTACCTTTACATAGGCTATCCCCCCTCCAGTCCATCATGAATACTGCTGCCAGGCTCATCCACCTTACCAACCGTTCAGTGTCTGCTACCCCTCTCTGCCAATCTCTCCACTGGTTTCTACTCAGTGTCCTCCACCCCTCTCTGCCAATCCCTCCACTGGCCTCCACTCAGTGTCCTCCACCCCTCTCTGCCAATCCCTCCACTGGCCTCCACTCAGTGTCCTCCACCCCTCTCTGCCAATCCCTTCACTGGCCTCCACTCAGTGTCCTCCACCCCTCTCTGCCAATCCCTCCACTGGCCTCCACTCAGTGTCCTCCACCCCTCTCTGCCAATCCCTCCACTGGCCTCCACTCAGTGTCCTCCACCCTCCTCTGCTAATCCCTCCACTGGCTTCCAGTCAGTGTCCTCCACCCCTCTCTGCCAATCCCTCCACTGGCCTCCACTCAGTGTCCTCACCCCTCTCTGCCAATCCCTCCACTGACGTCCACTTAGTGTCCTCCACCCCTCTCTGCCAATCCCTCCACTGACGTCCACCCAGTGTCCTCCACCCCTCTCTGCCAATCCCTCCACTGACGTCCACTCAGTGTCCTCCACCCCTCTCTGCCAATCCCTCCACTGGCTTCCACTCGCCCAAGGAATAAAATTCAAAATACTAACAACAACTTACAAATCCATCCTCAACTCTGTCCCCAGCTACATCACCAACCTGGTCTCAAAATATCAACCAAACCGCTCTCTTCGATCCTCCCAAGACCTTTTGCTCTCTAGTTATTGTGTCACCCCTCCTCCCATGCTTGCCTCCAGGACTTCTCTCGAGCTTCTCCCATCCTTTGGAACTCCCTACCCCAATCTGTTCAGCTATCTCCTAATCTATCCACCTTCAGACAATCCCTGAAAACCTTTCTCTTTAAAGAAGTCTATCCTGCTTCTAAATAGTAAACTTCTTTTATTTCCTCCATCAGCTCATCCCCCCACAGCTATTACCTTTTGTATCACTCAAGCCTTCCTCCTAGATTGTAAGCTCTAACGAGCTGGGCCCTCTGTGTCCTCTTGTACCAAACTGTATTGAAACTGCAATGTCTACCTTCATTTTGTAAAGCGCTGCGCAAACTGTTGGTGCTATATAAATCCTGTATAATAATAATAATAATCTCCCAATACAGCCAACGAATGTCATAAAAATCTGCTGGGATTTATATTATGTTACTGTTGTCTGCAGAGGTTCTCATTTTTCCAAACTGTAAATGGAAATCCACTTTAACCTGTTGGCGCCAGAGCTTCCCGGCCCTTTAAGAGTTTCAGAAGCCTGGAGGCGGGGCGGGGTTTTAGGGTCACGTGACCGCCGTGATTCGCCGTCACATGATCGGAAAAGGTCCAGATCGAAAGGGGAGATCGGGACCTTTCCGGGAGTAGCGAACATATGTGCTGGGAGCGCACAGGGCACGCACTCTCAGCACATATGTATTTTTTAATTGCACGCAAATATGTGGTCGCTCGGTATCAAGGCCCAGACGCCGAGAGGCCACATATTTGCGTGCGCTCGGCGTCAAGGGGTTAAAGTAGTAAAGTAGTTTTTTTTTATTACCTTATTACATTCTATGACAAGGTAAAAAACCTTCTGTGCTGCATGTGTTCCCCTAGCCTCCCCTTATACTTACCTGATCCCCATCTCGATCCAGCGACATTCGCAAAAGCAGTGGCTCTCTCCCTCCTGGCCGTTGGCTGCTGCTGTCAATCAAATTCAGTGATGAGGGAGCAGGGGGTAGGGCTGAGCCACACTGTTTGTCTCAATGGATGCAGACAAGGCGGCTCAGGAGTGAGCCCACATGAGTGCCCCCACAGGAAGCAGCTTCCTATATGGCACTCAGTGAAGAGGAGGAGCCAGCAGGGGACTCCAGAAGAAGATCGGGGCTCCTCTGTGCAAAACCATTGCACAGAGCAGGTAAGTATAACATATTTGTTATTTAAAAAAAAAAAAACTAAAAAACTTTTAATTTTAGAAAGTCTTAATATTTAACACACTGAATGAAACAGCTGAAATTCACTGCACTGTACTACTTGATGGTTAGCTGGTACTTACTACTCTATGATCAACTGGTATTTACTGCTTTCTATGGTCAGCTAGTATTTACTTTCCTCTGGTCAATGGGTACTTACTGCCCTGTGGTCAGATGGTACTTGCTGTTCTCTATAGTCAGCTGGTACTTGCTGTTCTCTATGGTCAGCTGGCATTTACTGGTCTCTTTGGTCAGCTGGTACCTGCTGTTCTCTATGGTCAGCTGACATTTACTGGTCTCTTTGGTCAGCTGATACTTGCTGTTCTCTATGGTCAGGTGGTATTTACTGCTTTTCATGGTCTATGGTACTTATGCCTCTCTGTGGTCTAGGGTACTTACTGCTCTCTATAGTCAGCTCGTACTTACGGTTTCCCATGAGATATGGTACTAACTACTCTCTATGTTTGTCTGGTACTTACTCTTCTCCATTGTACTTATTTTTCACAATTCTATATGGTACTTATTCTATGATTGGCTGGTGCTTACTGCTTTCTATGGTCAACTGGTACTTATTGCTCTATGATCCGCTAATTTTTACTATTCTTTATGGTCAGCTTGTACCTACTGTTCTCTATGGTCAGCTGGTAACTACTGTTCTCTATGGTCAGCTAGTACCTACTGTTCTCTATGGTCAGCTAGTACCTACTGTTCTCTATGGTCAGCTGGTACCTACTGTTCTCTATGGTCAGCTAGTACCTACTGTTCTCTATGGTCAGCTGGTAACTACTATTCTCTACGGTCAGCTAGTAACTACTGTTCTCTATGGTCAGCTAGTACCTACTGTTCTCTATGGTCAGCTGGTAACTACTATTCTCTACGGTCAGCTAGTAACTACTGTTCTTTATGGTCAGCTAGTACCTACTGTTCTCTATGGTCACCTGGTACCTACTGTTCTCTATGGTCAGCTGGTACTTACTATTCTCTATGGTCAGCTAGTAACTACTGTTCTCTATGGTCAGCTGGTACCTACTGTTCTCTATGGTCAGCTGGTAACTACTGTTCTCTATGGTCAGCTGGTAAACTACTGTTCTCTATGGTCAGCTAGTAACTACTGTTCTCTATGGTCAGCTGGTACCTACTGTTCTCTATGGTCAGCTGGTACCTACTGTTCTCTATGGTCAGCTGGTACCTACTGTTCTCTATGGTCAGCTGGTACCTACTGTTCTCTATGGTCAGCTGGTACCTACTGTTCTCTATGGTCAGCTGGTACCCACTGTTCTCTATGGTCAGCTGGTACCTACTGTTCTCTATGGTCAGCTGGTACCCCACGTTCTCTATGATCAGCTGGTACCCACTGTTCTCTATGGTCAGCTTGTACCTACTGATCTCTATGGTCAGCTAGTAACTACTGTTCTCTATGGTCAGCTAGTACCTACTGTTCTCTATGGTCAGCTGGTACCTACTATTTTCTATGGTCAGCTAGTAACTACTGTTCTCTATGGTCAGCTAGTACCTACTGTTCTCTATGGTCAGCTGGTACCTACTATTTTCTATGGTCAGCTGGTACCTACTATTTTCTATGGTCAGCTAGTAACTACTGTTCTCTATGGTCAGCGGGTACCTACTGTTCTCAATGGTCAGCTGGTAACTACTATTCTCTATGGTCAGCTAGTAACTACTGTTCTCTATGGTCAGCTGGTAACCACTGTTCTCTATGGTCAGCTGGTACCTACTGTTCTCTATGGTCAGCTGGTACCCACTGTTCTCTACAATCAGCTGGTACCTACTGTTCTCTATGGTCAGCTTGTACCTATTATTCTCTGTGGTCAGCTAGTACCTACTGTTCTCTATGGTCAGCTGGTACCTACTGTTCTCTATGGTCAGCTGGTACCTACTGTTCTCTATGGTCAGCTTTTACCTACTGGTCTCTCTGGTCAGCTAGTAATTGCTGTTCTCTATGGCATTTCTCTAGTGTCAGTTGTTACATACTGCTGGCTATGGTCCATGGTACCTACTCCTCTCTATGATCTAGGGTACTTGCTGCTTTTTATGTGGCACTCTTCGAAGAGAAGCCAAGAGCACCAGCAGGGGATCCCAGAAGAAGAGGATTGGGGCTCCTCTGTGCAAAACTATTACACAGAGCAGGTAAGTATAACATGTTTGTTATTTAATACAAACCTTTTAATGTTACTTTAGAGACTAAGTCTTAATATTTAAAGCACTGAATAAAACAGCTGAAATTCCCCGCACTTACTGTTTTGATGGTCAGCTGGTACTTACTGTTCTCTATGGTCAACTGGTACCTACTTCTCTCTATGGTCAGCTGGTACCTACTGGTCTCTATGGTCAGCTGGTACTTACTGGTCTCTATGGTCAGCTAGTACTTGCTGTTCTCTACTGATTTTAATGTTCTGAAGGGTCAGTTGCTACTTACTCCTCTATATGGTCTAGGGTACTTGCTGCTCTCTACAGTCAGCTGATACTTACTGTTCTCTATGGTACTTACAGTTCCCCATGAGTTGTGGTACGTACTGCTCTCCATGGCTGTATGGCACTTACTGTTCTCCATATAAACATATTGTTCCCTACTGTATATGGTATTTATTCTATGGTTGGTTGGTACTTCCTGCTTTCTATGATCATACGGTACTTAATGTCCTGTGTAGTCTAGGGTACTAACTGGTACTTACTGTTCTCTATAAAGTCTATGGTACTTACTGTTCTCTATAAAGTCTATGGTACTTACTGTTCTCCAACGTCGGCTCATACTCTTTTGGGAATTCTCCTTTGATAAACTGAAGCGTCAGGGATGTTTTACCTACAGATTAAAAAAAGATGTTGGAAAGGGAAATAATTGTGGAAGATAAGATCAGCAATCCAGAAATCAGGAGCCCAGGAGCAGCCTGGTATGGGATGACAGGCATAGAGGGGCCAGGGATGGGAACCCTGATGCAAAGAGGTTCAGTATGAGAAGAATGGCTCATAGAAGCCCGAAATAGGAAGCCAGGCACAGAGGAGCCTAGGATGGGAAGTCAGGCATTGAAGAGACCTGACTTATCCTTGCACACTGATTTCCTAGCATGCTGGCCTATGTATGACCTGTCAATAGCATACCCCAACATTCAGAGGTGAAAAAAGGGGTGCCAGTTTTTACACCTCAGCAATACCCCCAACTATATGGACACACCGGTTGGACAGTCTATACAGTATATAACTTGGGGTTTTTGAGTATTGTGTATATATAATCAGGAGGGTGTGTGTGTTGTATAGAGCAGTTTCTCAACCTTTTTTTCATTCAAGGCACCCTTTAAAATTATGGACAGTCCCGAGACACCCTTTAAAATTATGGACAGTCTTGAGTCACCCCATTCTAAAATGGGGTGCCTCTAGACTGTCCATAATTTTAAAAGGGCACCCCATTCTAAAATGTAAAAACTATTCTAATAGTTTTATATAACGCAGCAACACCCACACATGTAGGACACCCAACATTAGAGGTGATTTATTCTTC